CTCGTTTAGATACACTTTAGATACCAAATATTTAGTTTCTTGTTTCTTTATTACATTTATAATGTGGAAATCAGTTTAGAGTATGCCAGAAATTGCACGTAACAATATTGCCTAGCACTTACTCTTACTTACATTAAACTTGATACAAAATGGATGAGATATTTTTCTGACAATCATGATATATTCTCGTTTTCCTAATATAACTAACTCTTCAGTGGGAATCGTTGATATTACAAAGTGCGTTAAAATTGCATTTTTGCACTCTATACTAATAAGATATTTTTAAAAACCCAAACGCATTTTTAGGTATCCTAAGAATATTTTTGATTATATAAATGAAGCAAGTCTGCTGAACTTTGTAAAGAATATATGTACGACCTTGAACAAACTATAAGAGAGCTTATCGATAGTTTTAGGAAAACCCTGATATGATATACTTTACATACTACTAAAAAAATTAGGGGTTCTCATAATTCCATATTAGTTTCCTTGCAAATCTGATACTTTCCGCCAGCTGTGCGTTTACTAGGTGTGCATCTTATGCACGGAGTGAACGAGGAAATTTTTGGATATGAAAATATATAAATTCAGTTTTGGCTTCCTCTAAATAGCAAAAAGCTCATTCATATGATATTACAGGCGTGCGAAGGATCCTTCTTTAAAAATTCCTTTAGTTATTCTTATATTTTGTTGCTTTGTTGTAGTTGTGCATTTTAATGTTTGTTGTTTCGCTTACCTTTTGTTTTCTTTTTTCCTTTTACTATGTTATTGTTATACATTTCTAGTATTGTTTATAATTTTTTTGGCTTTTTTCTTATGTCCTTAACAGTCCCCACACGAGTATGACAACATCTTTGTGGCGCACAACACAATACATTATGTCCTTTTTACTTATGAAAAAAGTGGCGTGCTTGTCTATCTGCTCATGGGTCTCAAGAAAGCAACGGTGGACAAAAAGCTGAACTGGAGTCCTTGCTGTGTTTGAAGAGGGAATGTCACGCCAAATTTGTAGTTGTATTCATAGTTATGGTAGTTTGTGTGGATGTGTTTTATGTGCTCATAAGGACGACATGCGTTTAAATAAGGAGAAAGCATAATAACAACAGCTTTAATGTGCAATTATTTAAAGAGGAAAATATTTCCTGCATATTTTATTATGTTTTCTTATGAAACCTATTTACTTGTTCTTATTTCACATTTGAAAGTAATAAGTTTGAAAGCTTAAGGATAACATCCTGTCTAGGCAAGCAGAATGCCACAAAAATAGTAGATATTTTATACGAAATTTAGAGGAGAAAATGAGCCAGTTTTTGAATTAGGTTTAGGGTTTATGTGAATATTGGACTTGGTTCTCTTATTCGGGGTCTAACGAGATATTCTTAAGTTACTTATTAAAATTGTTTTAATATTTAATCAAAATAACAATATTTATTAATTTTTAATTTCTTTTAATAAAAAATAAGAACTTGATTATGTTAATTGAAATATATAGTACTAAATAAGTCTTTCTTGAAATGATTATTAGAATAAAGTATTTAATAAAAATTTCATATACAAAATTTAATTTATAAACACATTTTAAGTCAATAAATACTACTCATCTAATACTTAGGACATTCAAGAGAAAACTTTTTCGGAAGATGTGCGTACGCAAGTAGTATCGAATTAAATGGCACGATGCGCTGTTTAAACAATACCGCGGAATTGACATAGGAAAACGCATAAAAATTTATCGGTTTCGCTGACTTGGTCATATCGTGTGAATGGAAGAATCTGTTCCGGTTAGAAAGAAGTTTGATTCGGTACCTATTGGTCGACGGTTAAGGACGACTCCTATCAATAATAGCCTCCTAAGTAGATAAGTAAGTAACATTTAGCACTGGTTATCTAAATTAAAGAGATCTTTCATCCAAAAATGTGAGAGATCCCACAATCTAGAGGTGAAATATTTTGCTCTTCAAAAAATTTTTATTCAAAAAATCTATTGACAAAAAGTTGTTAATTTTAAAACTCTCAAGTATGAATGAAAATTGACATGAAATTTAAATTTAAGCCAATAAGACTACAACAAATGTACAATTTATGATGAATTTCAAGCTGATGATCTTGGTGAGCTGCAGCAACAGTAGACGTCATGCACTCATACACAACATAAGCGTCAATGTCATTGTCCTGTTGTCATCATCGAGTAATTCAAACCGAATGTCACAAAAATTTCACAGCTCACAGTCAACAACTACAACAGCAACAGCAATTTTCTAACAACTATCAACAACATCATCCTCAGCAACAGGACCAGCAGCAACCACAGCACCAACTGCACACCGGGCGCATTAGCTGGGAACAAATCATCCATATAACCTCGTTTTCTACTTGAATTCATTCATGGAATTTTGCCTTTTACAAGTCACTCCTATTTTTTGTGATGGCTTTTGTTATTGTTGGTCATGCTTCACCAAGAAGGAATAAAAATGTGTGCAATGAGTACTCGTATCCTTGGTAATGCAGCCTTAGTAGCTGCACTTAAGTGCGGCACTGTGTAAATAAATGAGTATTTATGTTGAGCGAGTGCGAATGTTTCAAATGTGACGGATATGACATGCAATGCTATGTGACATTTTTTTGAGACAAATGTCTGCATCCGCAGGATGCACTCGAATTTGCTGCAAAAACGTGCTTATCACTCCACACATGTCGTAGTATCAACTGCGTCATCAAGGTTTCTACCAATTTACCATCTTCAACTGCCATTACCATCATCATCATCATTATTATCTTTATAGTTCTCGCCACCAACATTATTGTCACTGTTGCGCCATGAACATGTTGCCGCTCGTCTGTTAGTACAACGCGTCCCGTTGAACCGCCTTTCTTTTCTTTCTGGCAATGGCACTACCTGCGACTGAATGAAGCAATGACAACCGTACATTTGCGCTAATTGCACGCGCGGTTATGTTGCAGCCACTGCGTGTCCTTAGAGAGATATGTGCGTGTAGCTGTCCTGAGCCTCTGAGCATAGCGGTTGTACGTTGTCAGCTGTAAATTCTAATGAGGTCATTGCATGACAATCGCATTGGCTGTTTACTGCCACTGCTGCCATCACTGCCACCACTCCCACCACTGCCGCAATTGCTGCGTGTATTTCTTTCACTATGCTGCATTTAAGCTACGGTCGCTTTCATTTCCGTTTCCGCTTTTCTTTTTAAACCTTTTTTTTTCCAAGTAGTAGCTTTTTGGCTTTTTCATGTGGCACGAAAACATTCGAAGAAGAAGCACTATTTTGCGCAAAGTCATTAGTAGGCGCCCTGAAAATTCATTTTTAACATTTATGCCCTTTTTTAGTTGTTGCCACAATTTTTTATGTATTTTGTTGCATGCAGCTAGAAGTCAGGGTTGTTGAAGTTCCATTGAATTTTATGCTTTGTTTTTTGTAATTTATGCGACAATGCGAGATAAATTGTAGTTGCGACGGGGAAAATATCTGCAACACAAACCAACATTAATAGTGTTGGCGAATAGCAGGAAGGTGAGGGAAGAAGAGGAATAGCGGTACCAAGTGGTATTGCTGCACATGACTAAATAAATTAGGAGTGTCGATGCAGTAGGTCTACTGGTGTTGTCTGTTGTAGACATTGCAACAGACGTGCGCACCAAAGCCTTGAATTGACTTTGTGAAGAGGACTCTTCTATGTTGCGAAAATCTTGCTTGACAAATGTTAAGTTTAATGATGCTAAAAGCCATAAATAAGTCGGATGAAATTAAGGACCTCATCATTTGCTTGGGCTTTATTTCATTATATTTTATGAGCTGAAAGTGAAATAAACTATAAATACCGAAAATACAAAAATAAAAATAAAATTTAACTCTTAAAGCTAGTAACCAAAAATGAAAAGTCTCAGATTTGGTCTGATATTGGCGCCTTAATAATTACAGTCACCGAAATAAAGAGCGCGTTTTTATGTCTTCCTAATAGATAAAAATATACTATTGTAGTAACAGAAATTTTTAAGAAATAATGCAAAAATAAAATGTGCTTAAACACTTAATTTTTCTAGCCTTATTAAACTGTGTGTATTCTCTGGGATTCGATTTACAGATTAGAATAAATATTTCACATTTAAAAAATTTAGTTATCCTATGTATATGGCAGTCAAAAAGATTCACTGATCCTAAACACATCAAAGTTGACGCTATCCTTAACCTTAGCAAAAACGATATTAAAATCTACACTGAACTTCTTCAAGGAGACATGAAGATTGTAGATGCGGTAGAAAGTGATTCCTGTCGACTCTGTCATATCAGAAGATATCTTATGCAACTGCCCAGCGGCGGCAAGACGTAGACTCGACTACCCTGGAAAAGGAATCTTAGTCCCAAATCAAATAGGTAAAATTAAGCCCAGAGCAATTACGAGATTTATAAATACTCTAGAATTGTTTTAGTTAGGCCTTTAGGCGCACAATAGATCATTGAGGTCGGGGTGCATTCATAGCCTATTTTTTAAATAAATAAATAAATAATTCGTAACACTAACCCTCCTGATATCGCTGCTTTTTTAATTACTAGTAAGACTATTTAACTCCAAACTATTAACAAAATAATCAATAATAAACCGAACATTAGAATCTGTAAATAAATTCTTCGTAGTCAACATAGCACAACTTCAGGTGTCTTCTTAGGTGACATCTTAGATAAGATAAGCACAACGCCGAGCCCGTTTTCATTCTACATCTTCTGATCGACTATTCTCCGAAGAAAATAAATAATTTCTTATAGTTTCCATAAAAAATGCGTTATTTAAATATGAAATTAATAAAATTGATTGAAAATGTCAGTCGTAATTATATTTCTCCCTATAATATATTTTCGTACATTCGTATACTCCTTACATTCATCGTACATTCCTTTACATTCATTATATTTGGAAAACATCGGCACACTGGGAATCCCTAAATCTCAGTGCAAAAATTATGATTTTCCTTCCATGTGAATGACTTACCTTTTATGTGGATATTTCCCATTCCCCATTATTAGGTACTGTAAAAAAAGATGAAAATTGTATTAAGTTTCAATTTAAAATTGTGTACACAAACGAATGAATGAAAAAACTTTGATGTTTCAGACACACAACGAAAATAAAACGAGAAATAAAATAAAATTATTAAATGAAATGAAATTTCTGCCATTAATTTCGGCTTTGATTTGATGTTGTTGATGAGGAAAATCGACACGCGCGCCATAAAGTCAAGCATAAAGTATCCTATTTTTGCTCAATTTACTCTTAAGCATACAAACACTACACACATACACACATAATGACGTATACACACAACAAATCGTATTAGCAGAACAGGGCAAATATTAAATCGGAAAGAAATCGAATATGTAAGCAAACATAAAGAAATTTCACATGCTGTGCCCCATTTTCCTTGCCAGTATATCAAATCATACAGAAAGGAAACACAACTACAAACAAAAAGCGAAGAAACAAAAGAAAAATAATAAAGGAAATAATTCAAAAGAACATTGCAGAATAAAATGCTGACTGAAATTATATTTCGCGCGCCAAATATTTTAAAGTTTTTACTACTGCAAAACAATGAAGGCGAAAAAATGAAACCGTAGTCCCGCGAGCATTTGCATTACACCCTCGTCTCACTCAGCCACCCACAAAATTGGTATTTCACAATACAAAATGAACCAAATGAATAAGAAGGCAAGCAATGTTTTTTTTCTGCTTCTATTTTCTTTCATATTCCTTTTGTTGTAATTGTATGTGGAATATATTTGCATTGAAACTTTGCATCTTTTAGGCTCAATTTTATTTTTATGTACGCTTATCGTGAGTAAAAAACAAGGCAACAAAGCAACAAGGCAAACAACATCAGCAACTATAACAGCAACAACACTAAATGTATTTTGGCTACAATAAACGTTTAACCTAAAAACAACAACAAGAAGAAGAAGAAGAACAATAGCAGCAACAACATAGTCAAAAGTAAGAATAACACGAATTGATGCAAAGAAATTCGCCACTACAGGCAGTCGTCGTTGTGGAAAAATTTCTCGACAAAGTGCGGAAGTGCGGAAGCAGCTAAGCAGCCGAAGCAGAGCAAACAAATAAATACATATATGAAATGCAATATTACCATTCTTAAATTTTATGTGCGCTAACAACGGAAGAAGTAGGCGTGGTGCTAGCCTAAAAACATACCAAAAATAGTTTATGACTTTTACTACTGCAATGCAAACATCCCCCTCCCTTTATACTGCCAGTAGCAGCAGCATTCCTCTAACAACCGCATTAAAGTATGCCAACAATACACACCACACTACCTTCCAACCTATCTCAAACACCTAAAAGCCTACAAACTATTTTTACATTAACTCGTTCGTTTCCATGAGCAAAAAGAAAAGCAAAGGCAAAAAGAATTTGTTTTTATGCTGAAAAATTTAACGTTCTGCTTTGTTACCAAATAGTGAAGATGTTTCCACGTTCCACGCGTTTCCATTGCTGCATATCAGCATAAGTCGTTCAAGTTTATTTGAGTCCTTCGTTTGTAGGTGGAAGAATATACTGAGTTGTCGATGGGGTTTCGAGGGGTTTAGTTCGGTTCGGTTCCTCTGAATTATTATTATTATTATCATTTTTAGTGAGCAACAAAAACAAACAAATCAAATCTAAATAAAAATATGCAAAATGAAAAATAGCAGCTGCTCTGAAATGGGCAAAGGATCAGAATTTTTCCCTGCTTCAGAGGTTCCCCGTAAAAGTGGTAAAGCAACACTAAAAACAAAAAATTGTTTACATTATTTTGGAAAAATAAAGTGAAAAACAGAAATTTTTATAAAAGACTTTTTGCGGAAAACACATAAAGCGATTCGAAAGAATGGTTAAAATATGTGCCTGATAATTTCGGAGGACCTCGGCTATTGATTTTTAAAATTTATTGCTTTCTAGTGGAAAGTGAAAAGTGTGAAGTAGTTTAATTTATACGCCAAAATTATGACTTTTAACTTTTAGCTGGTTCACAAAATTGTAGATACATGCATAAACGATTTAACGGGAAAGGAACAGGAACTTATCAGAAATAAAAATAATATACCTAAGGAATATTTTTCAAGTCCATTAAAAAATTTTTAGTAGACGATGGAAAGTCTAATACATTTTTGAACACAATACAGAATTTTTTTCCGCAAGTTAATCTCAATATTTTTGTTAATAGTTTACAATGAATTTGAAAACTTTTCCCCAGGATAATAATAAAAGCTCAACATAAACATTTCTGTTAAGATTTATTTTATTTTTAGCCAGGTGTCCAAAAATCTTATTCGGAATCCGAAAAATGTTATACTTTAATCTTTTAAAATGAGCTTCATTAACTTTCAGAAAAATTTGTAATTTGCCTGCCACACAAAAAGGAATTTTCCGAGTCAAGTTAGAAATTTGTAGATGCCGCCTACATCCTGAAAAAGTAACATAGAAAATAAGCCCAAAATTTTGCCGTAATGCCAGAAAAGAAAAAGCAATTTTAATGCATATCAAATGATTTAATTTAGCCGTCATGGGAAGGCCAGTGGCACTGTTGTTGCTGAGATACCGATTTTCCTTCTATTTCGGTCAAAAAGACCAACAGCATGGCAATCTGTGTTTGCATTTCTTCTTGCCTCACACTTCCATACCTGATATCAGCAACAAATATGATTCTAACGGTTTTCTCAGACCAAGCATGACAACATGAAATATCTAATTACACTGACGAAATATTTGGAAAAGTAAAAAAAATAATTACATGAATGCACGTACACCCAGCCAACTGCACATATGCGCTCAGTCAAACAAACACAAACACAAATACGGACACAAATACAAACACAAACATAGACTCTGTCAAATTAATGAATAAAAAGCATTTGTAGGAAATTAACTGTCAGAAGTAGTAGAAAATAAACAAATTTCTTTGGCATACATTGTGACCGAAAAGTTTTCGGGAAATTTTAAATAAAACGCAAAATTCTTAATCTTCATCAATATTTATTTTATCTCCTTCAAAATATGCTCCATTAGAAGCGATACACAAATGCCAACGTTTCTTCCAATCATCAAAACATTTTTTATAGGCGCTTTCCGGTATGGCTTTGAGTTCCCTCTGCGAATTCTGTTTTACGTCTTCTATGGATTCAAAACGCGTTCCTCTGAGTGGTAATTTGAGGTTGGGAAACAGGAAAAAGTCACACGGTGCAAGATCAGGTGAATACGGTGGCTGTTCGATGGTATTTATTGAATGTTTGGCCTTAAAATCGTTGATAATGTTGAACAAATTGAGGTGAATCGGAACAAGCCGGGCGTTGACACGTCGCATACACAAATTGTCCACCAAAATCAAACGAGCCATCTCACGACCGATGCCTAGCTCTCGTGCTATCTCTCTAACACTCACATGAGGATTTTTGAACACGATTTCCTTTGCCTTTTCAATGTTTTCGTCGGTGGTAGAGGTCGAAGGTCGTCCAGAACGCGGCATGTCTTCGACGGTCGTACGACAGTCCTGAAAGGCTTTGTACCACTCATAAACTTGAGTTTTCGATAAAACTGATTCCCCATAAGCCTTTTGTAGCATTCGCAACGATTCTGCACACGAAATTTCGTTCGAAAAACAAAATTTGATGCAAACTCTTTGTTCAATATTTTTTTCCATTGTTTTTTTCGCAACGCACTACTGAGGTGAACTGGTTTCAACAGCTGCCGTAAACGAACTGTCTGACAGATCGCGCTCATTTTTGGCATAGTAATTAAGGACAGTGCTGCCAAACTACATAAACTTAAAATATCGAAAAATATACAGCGCGCGAATTTTAAATGAGAATTTCCGAAAACTTTTCGGTCACAATGTATGACCGATGAAAATGATTAGTACAAGTTTTTAAGATTTCTTAACATGCAATTTTATCACATGAAGATTACTTTTTAGTTCTAGCGTTTCTGATCTTGTTTTAGTTTTCGAACTTATTATTATTTATATTATTTAATTGAAAGACTATAGATTATATTTTAAACGGGTTGGGAATTTGTCACCCGACACTGCACCTTTTGAGGATTATTGTGACATATCCACTTTAGTTCCATAGACGAGTAGCAGTTAAGAACGCCTTTATGTTCTTTAAAGAGATGCGCTTAATTCCGTTATAAGTGAATAGACGTGGATAAGTACCGAAGTCCGAGTCTGACGAGACTATCACAGTGACACAAAATGTGTTCTGCTGTTTCCTCTTCTTCGCAGCAAAGTCTGCAGCTATAGTCTCTAGTTATATCTAGGTTCGATAGATGCTTTTTAACTCCGCAATGCCCAGTGACAAACGCTGTGACAAGTCGGATGCCACTTCTGAAAGACTATAAATAAATATAACTATAATTTTAACTAAATAAAATAAAAATCATGTTTAATATGTATTATCATCAGCAAAATGAATTAATTTTGCCTTTCAGAATGACTTACTGATTAACCTAACATACATACATGCATATTGAGTATTCAGTTCAATTTTTCAAAAGAGAATTGAATATGAGGCAGCTTCATTTAAATTTTTGTTCTATCTTCATTTACAATAATAGTCATTCGTAGGGATCTAACTTAAATTTCAGTTAGAGGGCATATCAACCGATAATGGTGCAGCTTGCGGGAGACAATGAGACATTTTAATTTCTTTAAATATGTTTTAAGATATTTTGAGATACATTGAAAATTTTTTTAAATTTTGAAATAAATAATTATTTCTTCTAGTTTTATTATATGTATTTACAAAAAAAAATTAAAAGTTTTAATATGTATTTTTAGTTCGATAAGGTGTATTCGAAAGTAAACAAGTCATTTTTATTAGTTATTTATAGATAAGTAGAGATTCGTATTCATCTAATTAGATTTTGCATTAATGAGTAACGTATAATCTCACTTTTACGGATGAACTTAAACATCTCAAAAATGTACTAGGTCGTTCTGCAGAATATGATAACCGTATAAACGCTTATGAAATAAACT